CGGAGACTTGCCACGGTCTCCAACCCTCCTCCTTTCTCATCCGGGCTTGGGATCGGCCATGGCGGAGTTTTTCAGCTGCCTCCATGATTTAAATTTATAATCATGACCTATCGCTCATCTTCAGAGTTGAGCGCCTTGATGAGGATCAATATGAAAACAAACAGCTTAATCTCGACACTCAGCTCGGCTTGGATTGCTACGGTTAGAGTCAGTTTACATAGAAAGTCCCCCTCCCTCCCCGGTCACTTCAATTCCAAGGCCATTGTCCTCTTCCCATTTTCTATCACCAGTAAATACAACCGCGATATACGTGAATGTCTGCTGCTGTTTAACTGCTTCTGCGTTCATTTGCAGAAGAACAAAAAAGCACCAGGCTTTTCGTTTTACATACATTGGCACGAATCCTCGCTCTACTGTCATCCTTACCAAAGAAAGCAAGTAATCATGAGAAGAGCAACAAGGAAAGGAAGTCGCCTGTAGCACCTTCTAGTCTGCGTATATCGACACCTCAGTTAAATAATTTCCACCCGCAGAGGTACAGAATTCCGGGTCTCTGGAGCTCCGTTAACTATAATTCTGCTATATACAGTCGGTTCTTTGTGGCTTCATCAACTAGGTTATTCTCTTTCCTTCTGAATGGCTAAATATTTCAGTTTCTGAATGTGGTCTCCCACTCTCAATATCGTCGCGCAGAATCTTATCTAACTTTGCTAAAAATCACATCCGAATGAGAATGACCGTGTGGCTAGAGTAGGTATTCAGATACGGTGAGTCAATTCCTTTTCTTTAGGCTTAATTTTGAATATGAATAATGAAAGCAAAAGAAAGATTCAGTCCTCTGAAAAAGCAAACATCTGCATAAAAAAACTGTTCAGAATGTGGCAAAATCTTAATATCAGACACCAAGAACCTTGTAGCAAATTACCACTGTGGTTGGTTCCATGCGTAAATTTGAACAGGGTAAGAGACAGAATGCAAATCCGTTTAAGCATTAGAAATATGGCACTACTGATTCCAACTGAAGGGCCTTTTGTTGAATTTGAAAACAATCGAGCGGGCCATATAAATTAGACACGCAACTTTCGCTCATGAAAAAACACAACTGAGCACGGTATCGTAGATGAGACAGTAAAGGAATGGTCAATTGGAAAACATACGGCATTACAAAGCTAGAGTCAGGGTTCGTGGGGTGGAAAGTTCTAGATTACGTTCGATCGAAACAGCAGCAGTCATTAGCCTAATGTATCCGACTGCATAAGAATCACGCACCACTAGGTGCTGTGATGCATATGATGTATAGTGATATGTACCAATCAAATGGGAACAATAAGATTTCAGCTGATGCTTACAGTCAATACTGGCTCTTGTTGATGCAACGAAATCTGTTGCTAGTGTTTGTTTCGGGATGATGTTTAAGGACACATTGTGTCAAAGTGATAGCTTAAATTTCATTTCGTTCAGTAAACGATTGATGATTATTTATATTTCGCATGAAAGTTGAGCTTAGATTGACTTCTTCTGTCGCTATTGCAACCGTGCCAAAACGGAATTGCGCTGTTTGCTTTATCCATTCTAAATGGTTAAACAATCCGCTGATCATTAATACTTTTACCACCTTTGTGTCCTCTGTCAACCATCGTCGCGCTGCTACAAACACCACTTGCAGAAGGCTCTGAGCAAATTCTGACCGCTACTTTTCGCAGTCTGCCCCAGTTTCCTAACATCCTGCGCGGCCGTTGGTAACCCGTACGACTGCCGATGTTGTTTCAAGTTCAACAATATTAATGCCACTAGGGGTTTCTTTTTTAGCATGTACCCTTTAACAGTGGTACGCTAACTATAAAGGGTTTGTAGATAACTCTTACTGGAACTTGGATTTGGGATCGGGAAAGGCAGGGTTTTAAATGTCAACAATTTAATTAGTCGGCATACAATGGGGTCATTTCATGCATTGTCATACAGAATTATACGAAATATGATATGCAGGATCGTAATGTTCACATCAATTTGAAATAGTCCCCCTGCCGTGCTTATTTCAGAAGTAGTTGTGCAGGCATTTCAAGGTCGTTGTTGGTGGTAGTTGTTTTTCTTCTACATACGCATGATCCAGTGTTGTTAATCATTTAAATCGTTCACTGCAGTTTAAGGTATTTTACCTTTTGTTCATTCAAAGCTGCTGTCGTGAGTTGTTGCAAAGTTTTTTACTGCGACCGAGTGATTGTTCTGTTGTTACGCTTTTGCAGGGATCGTTCATAAATTAAAGTGCAGATGATTGCTATCCATTTTGTTTCAGAGTTGAAATGTGCTAAATTGTGTTGTTTTTCATGGTAGGAATAGTTGTGTCAATTTTCCCTTCAATTTACATCGCGATTACTTTTCGCATTTATTGAACATAGTTTTTCCCTGCGAATGGAAAATTGAAATGTGACTGGTTAATTCTGACTGGCGTTCAGCTGCATACCGTCCCTATATCAGATATCAATTCTGCGCCGTTGCTAACAGGAGTAAAAATCATCCCCCTGTTTCCACTTTTGAATTTCAGAAAATGAGGATTGGTTGCACAGTATTTAGAGACGTTTGCTAGGCAATAGATAAGCTGATTGGAGGGAATTTGGATGAAAGATCATTTAAAAATTAATTCAAAGTTCACTGCTGGTTGTTTGCCGACTTTTGTGCGTCGGCTGTCAATGTTCACCGATTTCAACCGATAATCTTTGTTAGCGGTCCTTTGACCAAACAACTTTGTCAAGTAGATACCCTATGACACAATTCAGTGGCATAAGAACTTTGATGCTGACTAAATGCGATGTTTAGGTTTTATTGAAAGACGCTAACGTAATCCATTTTTCCAAAGACACACAGGCAAGCGCTTTTATCGTGAAATTTCTAGACATTGACCTGCCATTCTTATGAATAAAATAATAACTGACGATGTAGCCAGGGTTCTAGTGCAGCGGAAGTGAATGTTCAATTTATTTGGGTCTGAGCATAAATGATACCGTAAATTGATTCAAATCGATTTTTTCCGTTTTGTTAGCCTCACAAGGTGCTGTCGGCGATTTGGAAAACCAGTCAAACCGTAGGTCTGTGGTAAATACAGTTAATTAGTTATGGGTAATGAAGGGTATGCCGATTGTTATCACATGTGCTAGTCTCTTCAGACACTACTCTCCTTCTCTAAGCGTATCGTCCCAACAGTAGTCGAGTTTTGCGATACATTTCGCCACTAGCTACAATCTCGCTATAAGAAAAAAAGATGATATCATACCCTTTATTCTTTCAGTACGTTGTTAGAACAGCCGGAAATTCTCAGCCTCCCCAAATGAAACTGCAATAATAGCTTGTTATACAAAAGCTGTGCTTCGACACCATCGTCTGAAGAATTTGTTGCAGATCATTGAGGTTCAAATTATATTGACAGCGAGGCGTTGCAGTGCGATCGTTCTAGAGCGTACGAGGCACGCTGTCGAATGTGTAGACTTCAGGGCTGCAATTCGCTTTTACGCACCCTATAGGTTATTAACAGCAGATACAATACGTAACTCGCTAATCAAAAATCTTAATTAAAATATCCACCAAATTCTGTTTAATTACTATGTTTTCTCGAGAAGAAACTGACGTAAGGAAACGATACTACTTGGGGGGAGGGCATTGGCGCAGTGGGATAGTTACTTGAGTTGCACTTTCTATATGCCGAGTTCAAATGTTACGCACTGTGTAAATTTTCTCTTAATGACTGCTAATTCCATGAGGAATTCACCCCACTGTTCTTCGGTGTAACCAGCCAATAAACGAGTTGTAGGTCATTGAGCTGTCAATAATGGGAGGCACCATGGTGCTTTACTCTGGCCACGCCAAAGCTTGGGAGTCGTACGAATATGCTCTCTGATGCTTTCCCGTTCACCCGCACGGTATATGACTGCAAATAAGCACAACTTGTAAACAGGTTTAATTCAAATTTAGCGTGATTTAATTCAAATTCAGTCCGGGCAAGAGCATGTATGTTCACTGTGAATGGAATGATTAAGAAGTAATTTTTATTGATTTTGTATGAAAGCAGAAGTGAAATCTTATGTACGGCATAAATAAGGTAAGTCTACGTCATTCAAACAGCGAAGCGTTGGTGTGTCGGTTTATAGGCCCCCTTAGTGACGTTTTATCCGATATTACGGGTTTTTTAAAACTATACATAGTGGTGGTCTTGAGCTCGTCTGTGTCAACGGGATCGTTTGGGTTTTATGCTCATATGCTTGAAATATTTTTTTTATTGTTGGAACTCAGTGTTCCACCCTGTTGAAGTATGTCATTTGATGTCGTTTGCTTATTTTCATAGTTTGTCTTCATTTTAATGCTTTATAGATTTTGAAGGCAATTATTTTGCATTAGCCTCTGAAAAAATTAACTTCTATAAATTTAACAAAAATTGCTCCAGTCGCTATTTTTCAGCGTTTTTCTCTTCAGAATCGCCATGTCGAACGTTCCGCCTACTCCAGCAAACGCCGCACCTCCTAGGTAACGTTCTGTGTGATATTGTGTTATATAGTATTGTTGTTATTGAGGCTAAGATTTACTGACTGTGTTTCTTTTTGTTTTTATTTTGAGGGAATACTCATTCTTTTCTTGAATTAACAATGGCTTTTGCTGTTATATTTAGTGGTGACTTATTTTTCTTCCCATCTCTGTTCCCAGTTACCTGTCAATCTTACCAGTGGTATAGTGGCTTTGCAAGCATATATGTATAGGTCGTCTTCGTTCACTTTGTATTCCTTGCTGCAGTGAACGGGGCTGTTTTTCATCTAGATACGGAGCAGCACGGCGAATGCATCAGGTAAGCCAAGCATTTACCCCTTGTATGCTTTTATTCATAAATATGTCAGATAATTTAATAGTCAGTTTAATTGTTTTTTTAGCTACATGTATCGTAAAATTTGTGAACTGCCTCATAATAACTCTACTGTCATTGATCTTAGTTTTTTGCGCCTTCTCGAATTCCGTCATATGTATATAATTGCATTGTATTTCTTTTAGTTACGCCTACGCCTATCCGCCAGGTTATGCGGGCTACGCGCAGCAGATGCCTGTTGCCGGACAAGCTACAAATGCTATGGTAAATTTAGAAAAAAAATAATTTCAGTAGTTCTATTAAGCAACTTTAAATTCAGGTTCCCGATGCCGCGGCTGCCGCTGCAAGTACTGCAGCAGGCAATGGCTATGAGGTTACGCATTATATATATATATATGGTTAAAATGTTTGACTCTTGCCTTATAGGCTTGCATGCAGCAGTATCAGCAGTACATGCAGTACTATCAACAGCAGCAGCAGCTACAACAAGCTGGCTATTATGGTCAGGTAGCTGCGATGCCTGCTGCCCAACCTCCAAAGCCCGTACAGCAGTACCCAGAGCAGCAGAAGCAAGTGCCAGTGCCGT